GGCTTCTGCTTTCAGGCTGCTGTGGCATTTCCAAAACGTGACGAGCAGGCGAAAGAACCACTTTTGGAGCCCCGATGCACTAAGTGAAGCCGGATCCTTGGGAGTCACTGTCTGTCTCCTCCCAGGAGCTGGAGAGGAGCAGTCAGTTAAAGTGGCTGCCTCCCGGGGTCACACTACGCCACGGCTGTTTGTGCCAGCAAGCCCAAAGCTGTCTGATGTAAACATGGCTTTTGTTTCCCAGGGAGCTGCTGTTGTGTTCTCCGGTCTCCTCTCCCCCATGGCAGAGAGAAATGTGAGCAGCAGCTCGATCCCCTGCCACAGCACAGGGAAAAGCGGCCGGGCTCCAGGACTGCCGCTATCACCAGCAGAGCCCTGCTCCGGGTGGGAATGGCACAAGCCACTGTCCCCAGGCCAGGGCCCTCGGGAGGCAACATGGAAAGCTCAGCCCTCGCTGCTGCAGCTCCCCAACCACCCTCGGCCACAGCACACTCCCATGCTGGGCCAGGTGAGCTGAGCCAGGATGGGGAGAGGCAGCCAGGAACAGCTCCCAGTGCAAGTTAAAGAGTCGCAGCCTTTCCCCGAGTCCCTGCAGGCTGGACAGACAGCACCCGTGTGTCAGCAACCCGTGGCTGAGGGGACCTCCCAGAGCCAGCCTGGCTGGACAGACACTCAAAGAGCCCAGAGGAGGGCAGTGGAGCCGAGGCGCGCTGACGGTAGTGAGCCACGGACAGCAAAAATAAATAAGGAGGCAGGTGACAAAAGTGCGCTTATGCTCTGTCCCAAAAACAGCCACTCCCCTGCCTCTTTCGGCCGCTGGCAAGGAGAGAGGAGCCAGCTTGCTCTCTGCACGGAACCCCTATCCAAGCAGATGTGGCAGGGCAAGGATTAACTGTGCCAGCTTAATGAGGACATCTGCGTTAATTTAATTAAAAAAAAACAACAACAAACAAAACAAACAACCTCTACAAGTCCAGGACATGTTTCCCTCTTTCCCAGATCTGCCCCAGTGAGTGAGTGTGTCAGAGACACTTTGGCAAAGCAGATTCTTGGGCTGGACAGGGCAGAAAGGGAAAACATCAGCTCCGCTGCTTCCTTCTCCATCCCATCATCGCGCAGTTCAGAGAAACCCTCTCCTTGCAGCTCCTGTTTGCACCCCGTGCGCCAGAGGCTCTGATGCCGCTGTCAAGACAGTTCCCAGCTTCACGGGTAGTGGGTTCAACACAGGCCCTTCATCCAGGTGTCTGTTGCCTGTGGTTTTTCTCCAGGTTCCCTTTCACCCCTCAAAACCAGAAGGGTTTCAAAATAACAGAGTCAGACAACAAAGCCTTGCTGCTGGTTTTCTTTTTTCCCTGGTCCGCTGGTTAATTCACCCACTAACCTGACGTGATGCTTCCTTGTGCCTTCATCAAGAGCAAAGACGTTTTGAGTCCCTCTCTATCCTCTCAGAGCACCAAATCCACACCCATCGACAAGTGCACAGCCGGCAGCTCTCGGCCGCCCTTACTTCACTTCCAGGATGGAGGGGTTTGTCTCCATGATAGCCACAATGATCCTGTCGATGTAATCCTGCAGGCGGAAGTTGATCTCCTCTTGCTTCTGAATTGCTTCCATGAGCTGCAAGGGATGGAGAAAGGGAGTGAGTGGTCACTGCCTGTTGCTGCCCAGGGACAGAAATGGGGCTTCTTGTGGCTCTGTGCACCCATGGAGGTTTCCCCACTTGTTCACTCTGACCTGGGATGTTCCTGGACATGTATAAGTGTCCAGGGAAAATGCCCTCAGCTGCTAGCTCTGCTCGCTCCTGTCCTTCCTCAAGTTCTCAGCCATATGAGACCCTGGAGAAAGCAGCAAGCACTGCATCTCCCTCTGGCCCCCAAAACATCCAAGTGTGTTTCTCCACTTCTTGGGATCTGAAATATTTAATTCTGATGCTTACATGGGCTCACACACCAGCACCTGGGGTACAGCCACAGGGAGCACACGTGCCAGAGAAACCAAGATCTCCAGGGTGGATGTCCCAGCTCCCTGGGGTTTAAGAGAGCTGCAGCCAGACACACCCCTTGCTCGCTGGGGTGTCCCAGGAAGGGGAAGGCTGTCACAGGCCAGGCAAAGCTGAGCTGCCAGTATCAGCAAATTGGGAGGGAGTTGCTTCCCCTGTTCCCAGGAAGGAGGGCTGGCAGGCAGGGTAAGTCCTGCAAGCTCTTCAAATAGCTGCGAGGGTATTTCTTTGCTCACAACAGCTTTTGAGCGAATTTTGGGAGTGAACTGTAGTGCTGACAGGGCCACATCAGCTCCTCCCAGGCCCTCGGCTGGCTGAAAGGAGAAGCACCAGCCACTCCGGGAAGACGTGGTTTGAGGTAAGCAGTGCCCTGTGACGTGTACCTCGTCTCTGGAGACCGAGCTGATCTCTGCTGCCAGGGATTCAGAGAAGGAGGCTGAGAAGAGGTTTTTGGCTCCCTGGATGCTCAGGTTAATGATCTGCCCATTCAGTTCATCATTCTGCTCCTTCAGGTTCCTGTTATCCTGTTCACAACAGAAAAACAACAGATGCTGCTGAAGCACGTGGTGTCCGCAGAGCAGATCTGGCTGGGTTAGCAGTTGCTTCAATCCTAACCAGCAGCTCACACAGCATTGGGAACAGTGCATGGTCTCCTGACTCAGTCTTGGCAGAGCCTAGAGAACCTCTGGAAACGTCCAATGTGCTGGGGAGATCCAGGGGATGGAGCAGAGAGAGGGGCTCTTGAGTGTACAAGCTGTCCTGCAGAGGAAGGTGCCAACTTCTCCTGTCTCAGGACAGGAGAGCAAAAAAGCAGTGGGCTGCTGGATCCATGATCAGCTCCGTGTAAGGGAGCCCCTGCGCCTCACTGACCACTCCTTGGTGTCAGGGAGTCTGCACCCCCTTCTGCAAACTGAGCAGCCAAGCTGCTTCCCTCCCTGCCCAGCCCCACGTACCTGCTTGAGCTGCTTGATCTCTTGCTCCAGCTCTGTCTCCCGCGTCCTGCTGTTGTACTCCTGGAGCCCCATGCTGCTGCTCCTGCCTCTGCGCTGCTCAGCTTCCAGTTTGAAGAGTTGCAAGTGCTCGAGCTGCTTCCTGAGGTCCTCAATGAGCTACAGCACAAGGGAAGGGGACAACTGAGTGCTGCATCCCCTGCAAGTCCAGCAGCAAACAATGGTCATGGCTGGTGTGACAGACGGGCTGTCCCTGCTGGGAGTAACCCCATCAATGGCTGCAGTAGGATTAACAGACTCTTTCTGGGGGGGAAAACTTGGCTTCCCCTTCCTTCCCCAAGCCTCTAGCAAACAGGAGAGGGGGAGCTACTTAAATACATGAGAGCAGCCCTGGAAGGGCTTTGTTGGAGCACCAAAGGTGCTGGCTCCGGGTCTGCAGCAACAGCCAGACCTCCCAGCAACACGGGCGCCTGCTCAGGCAGCTCCCTCCTGCCACAACGCTGTGAATTCCCATCTTGCCCAAGTGCTCTCAGCGCTGCCAAAATGACAATAATTTCCACTTTGAGGCCCAAAGCTCCTTTCCTACCACAGCAGCAAGCCCTGCTTGAGCCTCCAGCTGGAATTACCAACCACAGATGCCTGGGTGGGTCCGAGGGGGCTGTGTTTCTGCCCCCAAGCACAAAGAAGCTGGCAGCTCTCACCCAAGCAGCTTCACATCGCTCTCCTCCCACCTGCCAGCTCCACGTGCCATCACCACTGTGCTTCTGCCACCGCTCTTTCCACGCAGAACAGAGATGTTTCTCTGCCCAGGCACAATCAAATGATCCAGTTATATTTATTTTTGGGGAGGCTGCCAAGGCCGGCTTCCCCACTTAGCCCTAACCTGGGGGACTGGAGGACAGGGCTGTGGCAGGCAGCCCAGACTCTACTTACCTCCTGTGTTGACTCCTTCTCCTTCTGAAACTGGTGCCTCTCCTGACTCAGCTTGTCCCCCATCCTCCTCTTTTTCTCCTGCTCCTCTGTGAGCTGCATAGTGAGGTCTTCAATCTCATCCAGCAGCTTCTGCTTCTCCTGTAATGAAACGAAAGGCGAGAGTCACAGAGCCATCCTCCTTTGGTGCTGCCAGGGCTCTTCCTGCTTGCTCAAGGACACGGCACATGCTGAGAACAGCGGGGAAGGCTCTTCTCGCTGACGCATTCAGAGGCTCTGCCTGCTGGGAGTTCATTTGCTGTCTGAGGGCTTCAGAGCCTGAGTGCTTTGGCAGCAGCAAGAAGAGCCACACACCAAAATAGCACTGCTAAGAGAAGGGCAGTAAGAGATGACTCAAGAATAAAGGCAAACAGGCAAATATCCGCACTTGTGCGGCTTTCTGGGCAGCGTGGTGCTGGCGTGGGACACAGCTTGGGCAGGACTGGGGCCAGCACAGAGGCTACAGGCCAAGAAGAGATATTAAACCATAAGGCTCCTTAGGTCTGAATTTCAGAAAAGCCAGGATTTCAAGATCTTAAGCCACTGTGGTGATGCTCATGCTCAGTTTCAGATATGAAAGGACTTAATTGAGGACTGACCCAAGAAGGAGTATGACCAGTTCAAGCTAGGATGTAAAACACACAGCCCAGCCCTCCTGCTCTGCCCTCTTCTTGTACTCAAAGCCCTGACTGAACATTTGACGTCAGGTAAAGCCTGTCCTGGTGATGACAGCAGCCCTGCACAGGACACTGCCCTCTACAGCAGCACCCTTCTGCCTCTGACCAGTTCAGCTCCTCCCCAGGCTCACAGCTTCCAGCGTGGCTCTCCCCAGGAGGAAGGCTTTGGCTTCCTGAAAGCCAAAAATGCCACAAAGACCCCCGCCAAAGCTGCTGCTGGCAGGCCCATGCCACAAAGAGGTCATGGGCAGCTCTGAGGGGGAGCTCCAGCTGCTGGATCTGGGTGCCTGGCTCCGTGGAGCAGAGCACCAAAAGCACCACACCAGCAGGAAACACAATGTTGACAACGAAATCCTGATTTCAGACACCAGGCAAGACAGCAGTTCATTAGCAGGGCTTCCCTCCTCAGCAGGGAGGGGCAGCAATTGCACCTCTCACTCCTTGTTAATCCCATTAACCATGGAACAAAGTGGCAATCTCTCTGCAGAGAGATTAAGGATCAAAATCAACTTCGTGTTCGTGTGCTGAAACACACCTAGGCAGGAAATTAATCCTCAGGCCCACAGTGGCTTTCCTACCCCCAGCCTCAGTGTGCTGTGCTTACAAGGTCTTGGCAGATGGAGACCACTTCACTGTGGTCACGTCAGGAAGGGATGGAGCTGCAGCAGATGAAACATTTGAGGGCCTTCAACTGGGCAGACAGATTTTAGTTCACTTAAATTTTAATCTTACATCTGCTGCAAGCTTGAACAGAAACAAAACACAGCCTTTGTACCAGGTGTTACATCTGTAACACACATTCTCTCCAAATACGAGGATTTTGTCCATGGAGACTGCGGCATGTCAGCAAGCCTCCCACCCTGGCCCTGCCAGCAGCCTTAAATCCTAAGCAGGACAAGAGGGGAGAGGGTCTGGGAGATAACGCGGTGCTTTGAAGACTCCACACACAAAGCCCAGCGAGGGTGCATCTGCCTGGACAGGAAGCAGAAATGAAGCATGCCCGCTTCTCCTCCTCCCTTGCAGGGGACTGTCCCAGTCACAGGGATGGGGACAAGGTTCCACAAGAGGGCTCGAGTCCCCTCCTCGCTGGCCAGGACAGGGCTGCCACTGCTGCAGGCTGCAGCTCCGCTTCCTGCAGGCACTGAGAGATTTATGAGGGGCTTTGTTAATCCCAGCTTCCAAGCAAAACCCTGGGAAGCCGTGCAGATGGCGACATGGGATGGCTCTGGTTTGAGGTGAGGTCTGCAGGGACTGGAAGGCTAAAGAAGCCCATTTGCTCATTACATTAAGCGGATTTCACACAGGCCCTCCGTGTAAATGAGAATTTAAGCTCCAGCCATGCAAGGCAGCAGGTGAGGACTCAGAAACACAGCTCCAGTTTGGGTACCCCAAGCACACATGGCCCTCACCTCCTCAAGTCTCTCAATGTTGGCTTTTAAACATGGGACACAGGATCTGAGCTCACTGTTCTCGTCATCCAGTTGCTGCAGCCTGCAACAGCAGAGAGATGTGTAAGAAACTCACCCGAGCATCCCAAGTGTAGGAGACTTGGTTGAAACATCACTAGGAATATTAAAACAGGACCTGCTAAAGGCAAGGCAGCAGTGATTTATCTTTTCAAAGCAAACCCTAAGGCTTCCACTATTTCTACTCCCAGAGGAAAAAGGTGAGGGATTCACGTAACTTCTGGTGAGCCCGCTGGCCAGTGCTGTGCCCTTCACAATCAGGTCCAATGCTATTCTTTAGGCCAAGGGCTTCATCAGTGTTCATGGGCCAGCCTCAGCACGGGCACCAGAAATGAGACACATCACCTGGGCAGAGTCAGAGCAGGGTTTCAGAGAGGGCTTCAGCTTTGGGTTCTACAGGTAAAGCAACATCCATTTGTCACAGTAACTGTCCTACTGCATGCCCAGTAAAAAAACCCACTGCCTTCATCTTTGGTTTTACTGCAGAGCTTGAGCAACAGCAAAACACATTCTGGAAAAGCAGCAAAAAAACACTCCATCAAAAGAACTTGACAAATAAATGAAACCTCTCCCACAGCACTGTTTCCTTCAGAAGCCAACAGGTAGCACGAAGCACCCTGTCCAGGACACTGTTTGTCTGACAGCTCTTCCTTCTCAGACATTTGCTTGTTCCAGTGAAGATGACCCACATCCAAGCATCAAATGTACTTCCAGGGGTTATTCATGGGAACAAGCACTAACAACCAACCACTAACATTCATGCACTGTGAGGCTGGCCCATGAACGGAGAACAGGGGCTAAATTTAAACTGCATCAGGGAAATTAAAATAAAGAGTCTGAGACCTGGTTCATGGAGGAGCTTGATTTTGGAACAAAGGTAGACATAGCCAAAACCCATGGTTTATAATGACTTCAGTTACAGCTTTAAGAAGTTGAACTCACTGTTTACCGCACTTTGTCTCCCCAAAGGCTGCAGTTGCAAAGCGTCAGCCTGTACACGTATTCTGGCGTTGACATGTGGGTCCAGACCTGCCACCACCAGCCCTGCCCCAGCCTCACCTGGCCTGCAGGTTCTCAATCTCAATGCTCTTCTCTCTCTCCATTTTGCTCAGCAGCTCCCTCTGCTTCTTGATCTCTTCCAGGAGCGTTTGGTCAGCTCTCAGCTCCTGCTCCTTCAGCTGTTCCTCGAGAGCGTTTGCCCTGCAGAGAGGAGAGAGAGAGGATTAACTGCTCCTGGTGGCTCACCCCCGGCCGTCCCAAGGGAGGGATCAGACTCTCTCCCACCTCACAGAGTAACTGGGAGAAGCCGACTGTAAAACAGAGTGAGCTGTCAGGGGAAGTGCACCCACAGCCATCTCAAGCAGCACGTGTGCAGGGGCTTCACTTCACTTAGCAGATGCAGTGGGAAAGCAACACAGTCCATGAAGTCACCAAGGACCCTACTGCTGGCCAGCACAACAGTCAGATAAAATAAGCCAGGTGGTACGTGCTGGTATTGTCTCTGCCTAGTTTTTTTAAGTCTCCAAGCTGCATCAAAATGCTTTTTAAGAGAGTTATAATAATATTATAACCTGCAGCCCATGGATCAGAGTCACAGCATCACTCAGAACAAGCTGCTTAATTGGAATCTCATTCCAATCCACCTCCTTTTCACTCTCCCATCCAACACAAAATACTGGATCTGCAGGTCAACTTTCTCTGCATAACAGCAATTTCCATGTGGACCTGAGACTGTGGCAGTGCAAGCAGTGGCTGTGTCTGCTCAGACAGGGCAGAGAGGTATCTGCCAGTGCTCCTGCCTGCCCTCTGGAGCAGGCAGAGGCAGCCCAAGCCCCTGCGCTGCAGTAGATCACCCACCCCAGCAACGGTCTGAGAGCAGAGGTTTGCTGGGAGGTTGCTGGGTTGGAGTTTATGCAACTGCTTTGCACAGGCAGGCGGGGAAGGCTTTTGCTGGATGAAGCCATTCTTCAACCAGCCACAAGCACACTTGGGGCTTTACTTGATTAAAAGCTGAGTGACGCTTCTGGGCCAAGCCGCTAAAGTGAGAACGTTTCCCTCGCTGCAAAGTTTATCAGGGCTTAGAGAAACCTTTGTTTGAATAGCTCGGTTCCCCGACACGATTGTTACTTAACAGTCTTACAGCCCTATAGATAAACTCCTGCTGGGTTTATCTACCAAGGGTAAATACGCTGCTGGAAGAGAGAAGCCTGCCAGATTAGTAAAGACAGTGATTACCATCAAATGGGATCTGCAGGGCTACACCCTAGCCAGGATCCAGAAGCAACAGGATCAAAGCTGACTGTGGGGAGGGCAGAGATGGGCAGCAGGGACCCTGCTGTATCTTCTACCCAGATCCAGTGGGTGAAATAAAGGCCAGAAAGAGTCCGTACAGAGTGAGTATAAAGTATACATACTTCCCAAATGGGAAGTTCTCCAAGAAGCATGACCCTGCTGAAGTCCTCCGAGCCAACCCCTGGAGCTCCAGAGCTCCACAGAGACCTTTCAGGATGGACATGTAAACACATAAAAAAAGATACTAAAAAAAGATCTAAACCGCACTGTTACAGTTACATGCATCTGAGCGGAATCTTGTAAAGGAGATATTGCCATTTGTCCCAGCTGAGCTGCAAGCCATTTCTTGCACTCCTGGGAATTTACTGGAGACCCTGGAAAGCCTATGCAGGATGCCCCGATCCCATACACGAGGCCCTTGTGCAACAGGCGATGCTAAGCTGCATTTTGGCTCCCTTACCTGTGCACAAGCTGTAGGTTTTCCTGTTTGAGGCGGCTGTGCTGCTCACCGTTGGCGGCCGTGTCCTTCTCCAGCTCTGTCACTCGCTTCTCCAGAAAGACCACCTGTGTGAGGGGAGAGGAGAGCATCAGCCACCCGTGCTTAAACCCACCAAGTGCTGGAGCAGCTCCCACCACCTTCAGAGCACCATGCAGGTGCTCCCACTCACTCTGGGGCTGCCTCGGTTTGTTGCATCCACAGCTCCAGGCACCATCTGCAGCCTGCTCTTCACTGCATAAGGCAACCTGAGCTGGTGGGGCCATTGGTGGGGCTTGCTCCAGGGTGATTTACTTAACTGGTATCAGGTAGCAACACCTGTATTTAAAGCATCCTTTTAAAACATCCCTTTACACCCTTGTTTCTCAGTTTTGGATGTCTCCCATATACCAATACAGCAT